CACTTAAAAGTGTACTAAGTATATTTTACATTGCTCCATTTTGGTATTTAAAAGTATACTTAATAGACTTAAAATTATGCTTTGTACAACTTAAATAAAACTAAAGTATATTTAGTATTAAATTAGTTGTTCCAAAATAGCACTCTTTAAGTATACTGATGTTTAGTGTAGTATACTAAAGTATACTTAGATTTATTATACTTAGTATAATGTTTTTTCACCTGGGTTACTCTTAAAGAAAAAGGTAGTACAGTGTATATATTTTTTTCTTTCAGTGCCGGAGTGGGGAGGACAGGTACTTTCATTGCCCTGGATGTGATGCTCCAGCAGCTAGAGAAAGAAGGAGCCGTCAGCATCAACGACTTTGTCCGCAGGATGAGACAGCATCGATCGCACATGGTGCAAGCTGAGGTATAAAGTTGTTTCAGAATTATCTTAACACTGTAACTATTTGCTTAGGGTTATTTCAAGAAACAAGTTTGAACTTTGACTCTGAGTCAGTGTGCCAGAACGTTTAACAATGCTGTTAAATTTTTATTTGTGGATTTATTTCCTGGTGGCTATTTACAACTCATTTATCAACATGACASTTATTTAAAGACGATGCAACTCTTCACTTGTACTAAAGTTCATCCTAAAATGAGAGTGTGCTTCTTCTGTAAACTTGAGTTTTTGCAGTGTTTTATAAAGTACCACAAAGTGATACTTGAGTAAAAGTACAAGTATCTTACCTAAAAATTACTTTGGTAAAAGTTAAAGTCTCCTTTAGGAATATTACTTGAGTAAAAGTCTTAAAGTATCTGATTTTTTGTACTAAGTATTAAAAGTAAAAGTACTGATTTAAAATGGACAGTTAGATTTTCTGTAATGACATTTATTAGGAGGTGACCTCCCCCAAAAAATACAGAAATGACTGTGATATTAAAATAGTTAGTTTAAATTCAGGATGCACTCGTCTATCTGTTTCAGTTTAAATCAAGAGTGCCCAAATCTTTTCCCCAAAATAAAAATCTATCTGAGGGCTGCGGCCAAATGCAATAATATAATTCATGGAATACAAATACTTCTTAAGTACAGTCCTTTTTACTTTAATGATTATGTCCTGCTGGAGTGTGACATRATTTGTTTGTGTACAAACTAATACGGTATCAGAGTTTTATATATTTATACTTCTCATTCAACCACAGTTAAATTCACTGTCTAGGAGGCACAGTTTATTATTTATTTTTTACAATAAGCAGCTGAGATGAAAACAAGCAAAATGAAATAAAAGTAACGACTTTCTACTTCTTGCCTTTTTTAAAAGTGTAGTGAATAGAAAGTACAGATGACTGTGTGAAAAATGTAAGAAGTAGAAGTAAAAAGTAGGCTGAAAAATAATTACTCAAGTAAAGTACAGATACCCAAAAATTCTACTTAAGTATAGTAACAAAGTAATTTGTGCTTAGTTACTTTACAACTCTGCAGTTTTTGTCATATTACAAGCCTTTGTATATATAT